AGTCACCACTAAAGTTCTCAAGAAGCTTAGAAAATTGTATAATATAAAGGATGATTTACAAAAAGGTTTGGAAGTCAATTGTGTGTAAGGAAAGTATTAGACACTCCACTATACCTGTTTATAAGAACAATTATCCTAAGTTGATTGCATACAATTAATTGGCCTTTGAATAATTCTTAATTACCTTTTAATCACATGCAAAAATAAAGATAAAAAATAAAAAATTAATGAAAATAAATTATTTATTTACATAGGTGGATTTGACTTAGGATCAAAGCATAAGGCTCACATACCTTGCAATGGAAATCAAAGTCCACATGGTTTGAGACATTATTATTTAATTAAAAATTTTAATTATTTTTTGAAAAGAATTTTATTTTGGGTATATATAATTTTATTTATTTTTTAAATAAAAATTTGTTTTAAGAAAGCACCTTTAGGTAAGAGAAAAAAAATTAGTATTGGAATCTATGATAATTTAGTATCACTAGAGTCCATTAATTGATACTCTAAATGCACATGATGATTTAGTATTACTCATGACAAATCTTAAAAGAATTTTCAAACTAAATTTTCTATAAAATAATTTAATTATAAAATTTTAATGCAAAATTTGGTATCTAGAATGAATTAGTGTCATTTATAGTATTTCATTAGATGCTTTTAGGCATCTACAATAACTTAATATCACTCATGGTATAGCCTAAAATATCAATAATTTTATTGTTTTACCTATGATAACTTAGTGTTATTCACAGTAAATTATTATGAGGACTCACAGTGATTTGATATCACTCATGGTTATTGAGCAACACTTTGTACTCTCAAAGAGACTTATTTTCTCTCATGAAGGACTCTAAAGTAAAGGAAATTAAAATAAAAGGAAGGAATATGAAAAGAAGAGATAAATGTGAATGTGTGCATCTAGCAGGTACAATCAAATTAATCTTATTACATTTATATGTGAGCACGTAAAAAAATAATCATAATACACATATACACAAATCTCAAATACCCACCACAATTTCTCCTTTATTTTCTTCCATTAGTTACCGTAAGGCTCTTTATTCGATACACAAACAATAGGTTTCTTGTGTTTCTAGAACATAAGAAAAAACGAATAGTAGAGATTTTCATTCAAACAAAGTCGGAATGCAATTATCTTGATGTTCTATTCTAAATTTAAAGCATATACACAAAACTTAGTGATTATACAATCAACCACTTGGAAGTGTGTCGTTGAAGCCATGTACATGCAGTAGACCTAAGTGGTCTCTCATGACTAGATCACATAACAAAAGCTAACTCATATTCCCACCAAGGGCCTCCGCGTTATTAATATGATGCAGTATAAAAGAAAGGCCACCACACATATAATGAATAATAAGGTACAAAGTCATTAATCTCAAATTACCCAACATGACAAAACACAATGTAGTTCTCATTCTTAATAGGCTATTATTATTAGCTCGTCATTGTTGTTCCTCCTTGCTCCATCAATCTTACATCTTCCCTAGTCCGGCGGTCTCTCTTTCTCCATATTTTTCTCCCCTTCTTTTCCCTTTCTCAAAGTTTCTCTTTCCCCCACCCTTTTCCTCCTCTTCCTATCCCTTTTGTAGACCCAACTAGGGTTTATTCTCATCAATGACCCAATCTTATCAAATCAAAACCTTTTGCTTTCATTATTTCTGATTCAAATCAAAGAATTTAATTTGATAGAATCATAATTATGGGGACTTGGAGATTCCAGAAAAGGAAAATATTTTTTAATTTGATTTATGAAGATATTTTTTATGTTTTATCATTAAAAAACCCATTCTTCCATTCTTCCATTTTATCCATTTAAGTTTATTATATTTTTTTATTTTATTTTCAATTTACATCTAAAAAACCCAGACAAATCATATTAAGAGAGTTACTCTATAAGGTATTCACCAAGGGATATAATTCGATGTGCAGACTACTTAGCACAACAGGCTCATGGTGCTGGAATTGGAATCCAACTAATTCGTTCAAATCCCCCAAGCTTGACCAATATGGTCATGAGTGATGGAGTTATTCATAAGTAATTGTTTTGGCTTTTTGCTTTTGATATTCAAGCTTCGACCTGCCTTGTAAACACACACACACACACACACACACGAAAGAAAAATAAAAAATAAAAGAATGTAGGCCAACGGGATATATATGAGCTTGTTAGTTCACTGTAAGCCCAACAAATATTTACTAAGCTAGGCTCTATATCTTCTAATCCTATTTATAAATTAATTTAAATATATTTTATCAAAAAATTTAAAACTTATTAACTCAAGCTCTACTTTTTAATAGACTTAGATGAGATTTCGTTAAGTTAACCTAGGTTTAGTGAGTTTTATGAGCCATCTCATACATCAACTAACTAATCATATCCTTTTATACGACCAATTTAGTCTCTTGTATGATTCTGATCAATCAATGAAACTTTTTGATAACTAAAAACTTAATTTTACATTGAATTGTGATACTTTCTCTATTTTAAATTATATGACACTTTTAGACAACATCATATATATTAATAAAGCTTATTATATACACTTTACATCTTATTTTTTCAAGACAAAAATATAAACTTTCAAAAATGCTTTTCATTTAATACTCAATTTGTACAAAAGCATTAAAGAAAGAGAATATATAAAAAATAATATTAAAAATATCATTAATAAAATCTTATTTTATCAAAATGTTTTATATTTTAAGATGTCAAATCTCTCCTAAAAGTATCTTATAATTTAAAACAAAGTAATATCATTTTATTATAATGATAGGCTAGCTAGTTGTTATGCAAAACATACCTTTGTTCTTGATAACAAGTACATCAATCAATTACATGACAAAACCAGAAGTTTAGGTTGACATATTATAAATTCAGCGAGTGGAAATAGTGATGATAAACATACATGAATTAGCATATGGGAATAATAATACATAATTAACTACAACTATACACAAGCTACAGCTCCAACCAACAAAAAGATATTTTGATATTACAAAAAAACAAAAAACAAAAAAGGGCTGGGCCACTTATACACAGGTTAAATGGGCTAGATCAAAATTTTTGGCAACTCAACTTTTTAGTTTTGGGTTAACTGGACTGGCCCAGAGGCCCAACTCATATTCTTGATTTGCGCTTTTTTTTTTTTAATCAAACTCATGTTCTTGGTTCTGATTACAAAAATTTGAAAAGATGACATGTAAAATAACCCCATTATTTTCACACCATCACATATGTTTTCTTTAATTTTTTTAAATTAAGATTAAAGTATATATTTAATTCTTTAACTTTATACAATATTCATTTTGGTCTCATAATTTTATAAGGTGTCATTTTAATCATTTAATACTAAACTTGTTAGTTTTATCCTAATAAATTTTGTATTGAACTTTCAAATATTAACAAAATATTCTTAAATATTGATATATTAAGTTTAATTTTTTTAAAATAATAATGACTAATATAAAAAATAATCATTTAAAAGTAAAGTAATTATGATTAAATAATTAAAAAGATACTTTACATAATTAAATGTTTAAATTAAAACCTTAAATAAAATTAAAAGACTAAAAGTATACTTTATTCAAAAATCAAGTTCTTGTTTTAAAATTTTACACTTAACCTTTTTTTACAAGAGGAAGGCTCATGCATGTACGCACGCACACAAATATATTGACAATATGTTTAAACTTGGAATCTCATTGAAAACAATCAAATCAATTTCTTTTTAGGATCTCATGGAAAAAAACATGGGAAAATTATTACCTAAATATTATTAGCCTCTTGTTCCACATTCTGGTGCCAATTATTTCATCCTTCACCATCTTGTCTTATTTCATTACTCCTACATACAAGATTTGATGTTTACAAGATATATGGAATATACTTTTTTTTTTGGAGCAAAAATATGGAATATACATTTGATTTAACCCATTTTATACCATATTTAAATTAAACTGAATCATGGACTACATACTTTACACAAAAGCTAAAATAAAAACGTATTGCTAATCATTTTATGAATAACGTGGCTTCTCTCATGTTCCATATAAATGGTTTAATTTAAAAACAATAATAAAACTTGTCTAAACCTTATATAGCATAATGACACTATAAAAAATGGCAATGATTTTATTTTTTTTAAAGTAAGTTTAGCAACAATATTAACATTTGTCATGACACAATTATTATTTTCATTTTAGTTTTAATTATGATTAGTTATTAGAACACTTCATGATTAGCAGCTTTCGTGCATTTTACAATTATGATGCTATATTTTGCCTAGGTACTGTAAAAGACTGATACTTGATACTCGATGACCATAACATTAAAAGCACTTCAAAACTAGATCATGACCTTTCATCACCATTAGACTTTGTAATGCTGATTGATCTGACCAAGCAAAATACAAGCAATTGCCACTACTTGGTCCTCTGATTCTGTTCCTTGCATCTTTCTCTGACGTCTGTAGAAAATCCAACAAACAAGAAGGGATCATCAGAGTCTCACATGAGAAGAAGAAAGCCAAACGTAGCCACAGGATTGACTTGCCGGGAAATCAATTCCCACCGGATCAATGCAAGCTTCTATTATGAGCTTGCTTCGCCGGCAAGTCATCCTTGGCTCCATTCCACTCTCCTCCTCTTCATGAAAAACTCGCCGACCACACATTAACCTCAAATGGTGGTTTCTTCACAATTCTTTTGTCCTTCTCACATCTATCTCTCTGTCTCATGCTATATCTTGCTTGATTGACGCCACGGTATATATTGGCAGTGGAGCTAGTGGGAAATAATTAGTGATTCTCTTGGAGGGTCCCCAATATTCTCAATTCGACCCACCATTCAAAAATTAGTCGGAAGAGGCGAGTGGCTATTGTTTCTTTTAAAAAGGCAATCATGAATACTGCATTCTATCTGTTCGATGAAAAGCATCACTTTTGTCGACGTATTCCGATTTCTTCTGGGGTCTTCACTCGCCACCCGTCGTTTACTCATCGGGCTTCATTGCTGGATTCCCCTGTTGTGGGCATAGAATCTTGCAAAAGATGAGTGGTCACCTTAGAATGCCCATAATATTTGGATAGGTCAAAGGCTCAGGTAAGAGGGAACGGACACTCGGAATTTCCTTTCCTGTTTTTTTTTTGAAGCATTTGCAAATGGTAGGGTTTATGGCCTATTTCCAGAAGCACTATTCATGAATTGTCCATGATGATATCTTAGAATGTATCTGCAGTATCAGTATTCAAATGTTCTTCAACATAGGCAAAAAGGGTAGGAAGAGATGGGAGACCTCTTTCTCTAGCATCGACACGTTAAGCAGACATGAGATTGCTTAGAATGCGATACTATTACACTATTACATTTACAGAATAACTTTATCTATAAAACATTGGTTCAGAACAAAGTTAAAAGGGAGATCGTTACAGTTGCTGGCTGGTGCATTTTGTGAAGAAACAAATCTGTTAATGTAGCATCTTGGCAAAACTTTAGATATGAATATGTAGTGATGATTAAAAAACGAATCAGTTTTAAATTCGATGCCTTGATTATAATTTAAATCAGCATGACACTACATTTCGAATTAGAATAGAAGTATGGTGGACTGCTTGTCTTGACTATGAGACGAGAATTGTTCTATTTCACAAATATTTAATATTATGATTGTATCTCCAAGTTTCAGCAACAAATTATTTCATTTATTATTATACTGTCAACAAACATGTTTAGTAACCCTGTTTATTGCTTCGTCTGCTATCAATCTCCCCAAAATTGTGGAATGATATCGACGTCTTTATTTACCGATTCATCCTCAATTCAAATAATTGTTTGAAAAATGTCATTAAAATTTCATACTGTTTTATTGTTTCTAGGTTTTAATGATTTTCAAAACATTGCGCGATGATGTGCAACAGAGCATGGTTATTTGTATTGGCCAGCTAGATGGGTTATGCTTTATTTTTTAAATGAATTTGAAGTGGTTCTGAGTGTTACATCAAGTCTCAGAGATAGCCGTGCTATTCATAACTTAGGGATAGTATGGCTTCCTATATTATATATATAGACAGAATTGAAAAGATAAGATAATTTTACATTATATAGTATGATCTTAAACAATATTAGATGCTGTAGCAATATTGACAAGAGGCTTTAACACCATTCAATCTATATACTAAAAAATTTATTGCTTTCTGGTTCTGAATCCAACTGCATTTGAAATTTGGAGTCCAAAGGAGGAGTATATAATTTGCCACAATTTTCAGAATTTCCCAAACATAGTATCTGGAGATCCATTTGAGTTCACAAAACTCTCACTGAATGCCCTTTTCATTCATCCTCGCTTTGGTTTGACTTAAGCCCTTAGAAGCAAATGATAGTCTGAAATCTGGAAGCGACAGTTTTTTCAATTTGTTCAAGACTTCAATAGATTAAATTATTGCAGTACTTTATCTCATGGGAATGGAACTACAAAACAAGATTCAGGCTTGACCTTGTATTTCAGTTCTGTTTGGCAAAATCCTTTTTTTTTTTTTGGAGGGGTGGGGGGACTCATATATTTGGCCTATTATTAGGGGCCAAAAAGAAATTGTTCTAGTTGATGTTTGTCTACCATTGAAATTTAGTTTTCAAAGGTAGGCAAATTGCTTAATACTGTCAACTCTGAAAATAAGAAATCTCTTTCTTGTATAAAAGACGAACCATAATTCTACAAGTAATGGTCATTATAATTTATAGGAACATTTGAGGAACTCTTCTGGGCAAGCTATGTTCAATATTAATGTATGTTGTCATCCCAATCTAGATTAGCATGATACTAAAAACTGACCAGTGCAGCTAACTAAAAGAAAAAATGACTAGTGCAGCTTGAAAAGAGAAAAAGGGAAGAAAGAAATAAAGATGGCCCCGTGGTTATTGGTTCTCATAATTTTTTTTAATCTCTTCATATTAGATAAACCAGGTACTAAAATTATGCTTTTGTGCATTATTCTGTTACTGTCTTCCTCTCTTAATCTATACTGTTTATGAAACTCAAAGGCATTCAACTAGCTGTGATGAAGCTCTGACATTGACACATTTACAGGGCACAACACACAAATATGTTGCACTGTAAGTTTTAGTTATCTAACACGTATGTCAGATATGAATCATGCAGGATATGACTCAGACAAGAAGGGCAAAGAACAAGCTCTTTGAGAGTCTCATATGACAGAGGAAAGGGGGCAAACTTGAGCCAGGACGACACCGGCAGAAGCCAGAGATGGCAAAGTTTGCTATTTAATTAGCAGATGCCGGCAAGTCATCCTTGGCTCAAATATACTCTCTCCCTCTTCGTGTGAGGCTCTAAGAGCAAATATCATTGATATTCTTGACCATTTCCATAAGCTTTTAGATTTTCTCTACATGCACTTTGAGCATTATACTAATTCTATTTATAGCAGGAGCAGATGTCAACGGGTGGAATTCCCCGTCTGATAAAGATAATTGATTTGGCTCAATAATATTCTTTTGTACATGATTTTCTACATATGATATGCTTCTTATCCAGAACCTCCCTTATTTGGAATCAATGTCCATATTGGGACGTTTATCTGTTTGGTACAAGCAAGAGTTGACGACACAAGGACACATAATCCACTTCTTTCTCATGTAGATGGTATGGCTCCCACGTCTCGTTAGCTTTGAATTTTGAATCATGCAGAGTCTAAATTCAGTGAGAAGTTACAAGGGAAAGTGACTGAAGCAGCCACAAGACTGTGATGGGAATTAGAAGGTATGTACGCTGGTATTACACCACACCGATGTCCATGATGGTATCTTAAAATGTAACTGCAATGTCAAAATTCAAATTTTCTTCAAAACAGGCGAAAAGGGTAAGAAGATATGGGAGACCTCTTTCTAGAATTGACACGTTAAGGAGGCATGAGATTGCTAAGAATGTGATACTGTTACAGAATAACTTTATCCAGAAAACGGTGGTTCAGAACAAAGTAAAGAAGGGAGATCATTGTTATTGCTGCTTGTGGCTGGTGCATTTTGTCCAGAAACAGATCTCTCAGAATAATGTAGCATCTTATGGGCAAAACTTTAGATATGAATATGTATTGATAATTGAAATATGAATTACTAATATATTCGATGCGTTGACTGCAATTTATATCAGCATGACATGACACTACATTTTGAATAAGAATAACCGCACTTGCTTTACTATGTGGCAGTGTCATAATTGTATTTTATTTGTATCAATTTTTATTCCTTTAAAACTATAATGGATGGAATGTATTGACATTGAGCTAAGATTTATTCTTTTTCACAAATATTTAATAGTATGGTTGAATTTCCAAGTTCCAGCAGTAAATCATTCCATTTAACATTTTCACTGTCAACAACTATGTTTATTAACGTTGTTTATTAATTCATCTGCTATCCACGTCTCCCCAATTGTGGAATGATATCAAAATCTTTATCTACAGATTCATTCCCAATTCAAGTATTTGTTTGAACAATGTCATCAAAATTTAAAAATTGTTTCATTATTTCCAGGTTTAATGAGTTTCAATACATTGTGTGATGACTTGCAACAGGACATGGCCGTTTATATTGGCAAACTAGATGTGATATCTTTGATTTTTGACTGTATTAGATTAGATGTGGGTCATATGTATTGCATGTAATTTAATAAATGACACATTGCTCATGATTAGAAATAGTGCGATTTCCTATAGATTATATATATATATATATATATATATTGATAGAAGCAAAAAGAACCTTCTAAAATTAGCATGAATGATAAAGGCTTTCATTACTTAAACAAATAGTTGGGGGTTCGAACCATAATCATTATGTATGTAGCAATTTAGTTGGAATGGGTTTATTCATTGTTCTCAATTTCTCAATATCTTGGAGGAGGTATTCTCTACTCTCATTGGAGCCTGCTCCTTATACTTACACAAAAAAAAAAAGAGAAAAAAAAAAGAATCGAAAATATAAGATTCTATAGCTTTCTGGTTCTGAATCCAATTGCATTTGAAATTTGGAGTCTCAAAGGATGAGTATATAATCTGCCCCAATTTTTCAGAATTTCCCCCGATAGCATATGGAGATCTATATGACTTCGTCAAACTCTCACTAAATGCTCCCATCATTCATCTTTGCTTTGGTTTCACTCAGGCTCAGAAATCTGGAAGTGACTATAATTTGTTGAAGACTTTGTTAGCATTGAAGAACTTTATCTCATGGGAATGGAATTGTAAAATGTGGCTTTGCATTGTTTTTCAGTTCTGCGCTGCAAAATCATTGAAGGAATGTGTCAGAACTCAGAATATGCTTTACTTTATCCACAACAGCTTTTAATATTTGGCCTATTATGGGCAAATAATCGTTTCAGTGGACGTTTGATGAGTATCATTGAAAATTTTTGTGTTCAAATGTGGCTAATTAAATAGTTAATGCTGTCAACTCTTGAATAAGAAAGCTTTTTGTGTTTCTTGAACATATAAAGGACTAAACATATATAGTCATGCAAGTGATGGTCATTATAGGACTAATGAACTTTGCCAGCTGGTGATTTTCAATACTGATACAATAAGGCATTCTTTATGCTAATATTGGTACTCCATAATTTTCATAAATCAACAATTCGGCTTGAAAACTCATTCTAATTCTCTTTTTCATACCAGCAGATTCGATCAATCCAAGAATCAAAGTAAAATTAAGTGAGATTCTGGAAGGATTAAGAAACTGAAAATTAAAAAGAAGCAAAAACATAAAAATAATGAAGGATGCAAACAAAATTTAACATGGAAAAACCCGTAGTATGAGGGAGAAAAAACACATGGGCAACAAATAAAAAAAAAAATCGATAATGCAAGATCAAGATTACAATGAATCTACTATCTGATCTTTGATAAATAAAAAAAAATGAATTTAAGTTTCTAAACTGGATTTTGTTATATGAATCCTGCAAATAATATCATGACAATCATGGACATGATAGATATCATACTAAAATAAACTTGTCAACAAGCATGACCATAAAATAATCATACTATGATAGAAATTTGAGGCACAAATTCTAACATGTATCACATCCACTACTCTGTCATCCTCTCTCAAACAATCTATGTTCAAGAAACTCAATGTAACATTTGAAAATTGAAATGAAAGTAGTCAGAAGTGTTAGTAGTATTTGACACGATACGATATAATAACTCAAATTTTGAAGTATGAGTAATACTTCAAGCTCTGATAGTCTCATATGAGAGGAAAGTGAGCAAATTTGAGCCAAGAACAACTGCCGGAAAGACCCAGAACTTGGAAATTTTGCCATTAATTTGGCAGATTCCGGCAAGTCATTCTTGGCTCAGATATACTCTCTAACCTCTTCATGCGAGGCACCTGAGCCAACAACGTAACGTTAATGAGCTTCTTCTTCTTCCTCCATATATTCGCAAGCTCTCATATTTCTGTCATATCTGCATGCATTTTGAGCATTATTTCGACGTTATTTATAGGAAGAGAGTAGACGTAAGGTGAATGGGTCAAAGATGCTTCTAATCCAGAACCATCCTTGTTTGGAATCGATTTCTTTGTGGATTCGTTTAACCTTTTGGATTGGCTAAGAGCTGCCTCAATCCACTTCCTAGCAGCCAATTGATCATGGTTGACTCATCTGATCTGATATGTTTCCTTCTACAATTCAACCAAGGTTAAAAGTATACACATTAAGTTAATAATTTTACAAATTAATTAAATTTAGTTAATACCTTGAAAATTTTAAAATTATCTTCGATGAAGTTCATTAATTAGAGGAGGTTGTCTAGTTAGTTGGTTAAAGAATATTGAGACGAAGGATATTTACGAAAAAAATTATACCAATAGAAGGTATAATATAATATTACGAACTAGATGAAAAAAAATTTACAATAAGAATTGAACGGAGTATATATCTAATGTTGGTAAGAAATATGATACCATACATGTATATATGTCACTTAGTCATGATACTATACATGTACATATTTAAGATAAATGGGGTTTCCTAACCTCAAAATGTTTAATTTTTAGCATGGGAAAGGTATTTCTTGACCCAAGTGTTACTCTCGCTCTATTCATTTAAAATTTCTCATTCTTTTCATGTTTATCTTTATTTTTTGCTATCATTCATGTTTATCTTTATTTAATAAGTTATCTTAATTTATACAATCTTATTAATTACAATTCTAATTAAGGGTTTTTTAAAAAAATCATATTAATTATATATTGAAAGACTCAAAATACTCTATATTTTTAAACATGATACTTCAAAAAAGTGCTCTATAATACTGAATGGAGAGAATATTACATTTAGGTGATCAATGGTGCCCATAATATTCATGTCATGCAAAAGATATTCTCATATCCTATATTATATATATGATGTTTCTCATGACTTCCTTAGGATATCTTCTAAAGGTATGAGCGTTCATTTCCGTAAATTTACAGCAAGGATCCTCACACACACACACACACACACACACACACATTTATTTATTTATTTTTGAAAAAGATAATAAAATTGACTTTGAGAATAATGTTCATGTGATGATTTCAAAGTATAATCCAGCTAGTATATAAACAATCTGTATTTCTGACAAATAATATGCATATGTTCATATTAATTTGCGAAGTAAGGAACTCAGCTGATGGTAATAGATTATTAAACTAATTGTAGTGACATCGGAGGTTTATGCGTAAGTTTTGAACTTTGAAACCATGTGCTTTTGTTGGACAAAACAAGCTTAACAAGATTTCATTATTTTGAAATATGGTACCTCCATTACATATTCCTTATCCATAAGTCATATATAGTTTTATTTTTAGTTTTATTTTTGGGTAGTTATGACAGAGAGAGAGGGTTGAAAGAGATTAAAATTTGCATTTAATTAAAAATGTTTGTGAAAAGATTAGGGTAGCTTGAAAATAACAAGCTAACTTTTTTTTTATTTTGTATGAATTAGTTAAGAATTATTATATAAATAAAAAAATAGGTATCAGGTTCACTTGTCGCATATCAGTATATATATATATATAGTTAGTTTGTTAGTGATAATTCGATATGGAATTATTGAAGTCTTACTCTTTCGCCTAATGGTTGACCATTTTTAAGCTGCAAGTTGTTTTTTCATTCCTGTTGCTTTTCAGGGCTGTCAATCACGAACTTGGCTTGGGTCTATGGGCAATCCAATAACCAAATCTTAACTTAGTCGATAAATTAATATGGCCTAAAATGATAAATTAAAAATCATAATACGTAATAGGAGTTTGAGGCAATAATATTGTTAATTTGTAAATATACTACCTGTTTTCCTCTTCCTCTCTCAACATATACAGTTCATGTGCACGAAAGCATTGTATAAGTCCTGAGAAGCTTTATGGACAGTAATTGAAGAAACAACACATAAGGTACATATAACATATTGGAATATTGAATGTAATTAATTATGAGTCAAAACAACTGCCGGCGATTCCAGCAAGTCATTCTTGGCTTAGATATGCTTTCTGATCCCTTCATGAGAGCCAATTTGAGCCAATAATGTTAATGCATTTTTGAGTGTTATTTTTAGCGTTATTTAGAGACGTACAGAACCATCCTTGTTTTGGAATCAAATTTCCATAATTGCCAGATTAGATTCGAATATATTGTATAGTTAGTCCAATTGATGAGAGTAGCTCTCTTATTAATAAAAGAGTTTTTTATATTCATACATACTAAAATTTAAAATTTCGTACTCAAGAGTCCTTTCTACGTCTAGGACTATAGTAAATCAAATTTTCATTTTAATTTGTTTTTAAGAAAGGTTAAAGGGCATTTTTACTCTTCAATTATTCTCTTAGAAGCATTTAGTATTTTAAACTTTTATATGGTACAATTTTGCTATTAAACATTTGAAAATGGTCACCCTGCCTGTAAAAATTAATTTACTTCTAAAGATGTAAAAATTATATAAAAGGATCACAAAAATTACAAAAAAGATTATAAAATTATATATAAGTACCCTACAATAAAATTAATATAAATTAAGTCCCCTAAATTACATATAAATAACAAGATATAAATGTTATTTATTACCCATGTAAAAGGCCAAAATATGATTTTGACCAATTATTATTTTAGAAGCTTAGTCAATATTAATTTACTTCTAGGGTACTTATTTGCAATTTTA